GAGGAAGGGGGGGAGGGAGGAGAGAGGGCGATGAGGAGGGGGGGGAGGAACGGGGAGAAGCGAGAGAAAGGCGAAGGGAGAGAGAAAGAGGAAGGGGGGAGGGAGGGAGAGAGGGCGATGAGGAGGGGGGGGAGGGAGGAGAGAGAAAGGGAAAGGACAAAGACCCGATTTGAACAGAAAGAAAATTAAAGTGGAGAATTGAGAAGTAGGGAAATAACAGGTAAGGGAAAACAAGAAACGTGTGAAAAAGAAGAAGAGGACGTATGAATGAGAGAATGAGGAAGAGGCGGAGAACGCAGAGGGCAGGAACTTCAAGAATTCGGGGGAAGGGACCGGATGGAAGAAAATAGGAACTGGTGGCACGAGGGAAGGAAGGGAAGGAAGAAGAAAATACGAAAGTAGGCAGAGGTGACGAAAGATAACAAAGGAATGTAAAGATTGCCTGGTGTCAAATTGCTCTGTCATTTACTGGATTGAAGAAGGAAAAAGAAAACACACGCACACACACACACACACATACACACACACACACACACACACACACACACACACACACACACACACACACACACACACATGCACACACACACACACACACTCGCGCGCGCACATGTATATGTATGTGTGTATCTTCCTTCTCCCTTTTCATCTCACTCTCGTCTCGTCTCTTCTCTCCTCTCCTCTCCTCTCCTCTCCTCTCCTCTCCTCTCCTCTCTCTCTCTCTCTCTCTCTCTCTCTCTCTCTCTCTCTCTCTCTCTCTCTCTCTCTCTCTCTCTCTCTCTCTCCATCCCTCTTATCTTTCTATTCATAACTATTTCGATCTAGGATAAGGGAGATAGAAAAGCAAATATAATATAGAGGGAAATTGAGAAGGAAAGCAAGAGGAAGAGAGCAAAGGAACTAGATAAATAAGGGACATGAGAAGGAGAGAGCGATAATATATGCTAATCAAAGCCAAAGGAAAGGGGTAAATAAGCGAAAACCGATTACGAGACAGAAGACCAACTCATAAAGGGAGCGAAAAGCAGCTTAAAGGTTTATCCCCAAACCAGAGAATAACAAAAGAACAAAATGGAAAAAGAGAGGAAGTGAAGAAAACGAGGAGAAACGCACCATAGGCGAGGCAGATAAGATGGATAAATGTGAGGATAACGCGACGGGCAAGATTATCCTAGGATTGCGCAAGAGGACGAGCAAAAGGCATCACGCGGACGGCAGCGGAATGGACTGCGGCGGAGACAGAACACGGTCGCTTGGCGTGGCTCGGTTTCGTTTTTTTTCTTTCTTTCTTTTTCATTCTTTCTCTTTTTTCTTCTTTGTTTTTTTTCTCCGTCTCCTTCTTCTCCCTTTTCTTTTCTTTTTTTCTCCGTTTCCTTCTTCTCCCTTTTTTTTCTACGTCTCCTTCTTCATCTTCTTCTTCTTGTACGTCTTCTTCATCTTCTTCTTCTTCTTCGTCTTATTATTATTCATCCTTTTCTTCTTCTTCCTCTTCTTCGACTTCTTCTTCTTAATTTTTTTCTCCTTCTTCTTCTTCTTCTTCTTCTTCATCTCCTTTTTCTTCGTCTATTACCTTCTTTGGATAATTAACTAGTCAGCAAGATTACTCGAAAAATCTGTGAAAATAACTTTTAAGAAATTAATTATCTTCGAAAATAACGTGTATTTTGAAATTGTATCTTTTAGAGCGAGTGTTTCCTAGTTCTCAGTGTTGTTATTATTGTTATTATTATCATTACTAATCTTGTTTAAATTAGTAGCAGTTGTTGTATTGTAGTAGTAATAGTAGTAGGAGAATTGTAGTAGTATTGTAGTAGTAATAGTAGTAGTAGTAATAATAGTAGTAGTATTGTAGTAGTAATATTGTAGTAGTATTGTAGTAGTAATACTAGTAGTAATATTGTAGTAGTATTGTAGTAGTAATACTAGTAGTAATATTGTAGTAGTATTGTAGTAGTAATACTAGTAGTAATATTGTAGTAGTATTGTTGTAGTAGTTGTAGTAGTAGTAGTAAGAGAGCAGGAGAAGAAGATAATATGAGTGAGAGAACGAAGGATAAGAAAAAAAGGGATAGATAAGGAGTGAGGGGAAGCGGAAAAAAATTAAGAGGGGAATGTGATAGGAGAAAAAAAAAAAAAAAAAAAAAAAAAAAAAAAAAAAAAAAACAAACAAAGGCGGAATCTGTGTCTTTGCTGTAATTGAGGCTGGCTGGCGGGATGGGAAAAAAAAAAGTTGAGAATGTAGATCTATGTGTATTAAAATATCATCATCATTAAAGGTAGACCGACAGGAGTTTTTTTTTCTTTTTCTTTCGTGACCTTCTTGGGGGGAGGGAGAGAGAGAAAAAAAAAATTGGGGGGTTGGGAGCCAAAAAAAATCCTTATCTTGACATGGACAAAAAAAAAATCTTCAAACAAAGTGATAATTTTTCATATTAAAGAAGGGGAATTGTAGACAGATGAGGGAGAGAGAGGAGAGGGAGAGAGAGGGGGGGGAGGGGGAGAAGGAGGGAGAGAGAGAGAGAGAGAGGGGGGGGGAGAGAGAGAGGGGGGAGAGGAAGAGAGGGAGAGAGGGGGAGAGAGAGAGAGAGGGGGAGGGTGGAGAGACAGGGGGGAGGGAGAGAGTGAGATAATGAGAGAGAGAGAGGGGAGGGGGGAGAGAGAGAGAGAGAGGGGAGGGGGGAGAGAGAGAGAGAGGGGAGGGGGGAGAGAGAGAGAGAGGGGAGGGGAGAGAGAGAGAGAAGAGAGAGAGAGGAGGGGGAGAGAGAGAGAGAGAGAGAGCGCAAGAGAGAGAGAGAGAGAGAGAGAGAGAGAGAGAGAGAGGAGAGAGAGAGGACGAGAGAGAGAGAGAGAGAGAGAGGAGGGGGGAGAGAGAGAGAGAGTGAGAGAATGAGAGAGAGAGAGGGGAGGGGGGCAGAGAGAGAGGGGAGGGGGGAGAGAGAGAGAGAGGAAGAGAGGGAGAGCAGTGGGGGAGAGAGAGAGAGAGAGAGAGAGGGGAGGGGGGGGAAGGAGAGAGAGGGGGGAGGGGGGAGAGAGAGAGGGGGGAGGGGGGGAGAGAGAGAGAGAGGGGAGGGGAGGAGAGAGAGAGAGAGAGGGGAGGGGAGAGAGAGAGAGAGAGGGGAGGGGAGAGAGAGAGAGAGAGAGAGGGGGGAGGGGAGAGAAGAAGAGGAGAGGAGAGAGAGAGAGCGGGGAAGGGGGAGAGAGAGAGAGAGAGGATGGGGAGGGGGAAGAGAGAGAGAGAGAGAGAAGAGAGAGGGGAGGGGAGCGCGAAGAGGGAGGAGCGAGAGGAGAGAGGGTGGGAGGGGAGAGAGAGAGAGAGTGAGAGGGGAGGGGGGAGGAGACCAGGGGGGAGGGAGAGAGTGAGAAGAGAGAGAGAGGAGAGAGGGGGAGGGGAGAGAGGATGAGAGAGAGAGAGAGAGGGGGGAGGGTGAGAGAGAGAGAGAGTGAGAGGGAGGGGTGATGAGATGAGAGAGAGGGGGAGGGGGGAGAGAGAGAGAGAGGGGAGGGGGGAGAGAGAGAGAGAGAGAGGGGTAGGGGGGGAGAGAGAGAGAGAGAGAGCAGAGAGAGAGAGAGGGGGATGTGTTTGTGTAGAGACAGGGGGGAGGGAGAGAGAGAGAGAGATGAGATGAGGAGAGAGAGAGAGACGAGAGAGAGAGCGGACGCGGAGAGAGAGAGAGAGGAGAGAGAGAGAGAGAGAGAAGAGAGAGAGAGAGAGAGAGAAGGATAAAGAGAGAGGAAGAGAGGAAAAGATAAAGAGAGAGAGGAAGAGAGAAGAGAAATGGAGAGGGATAGAATGAAAATTAAAAAGCAAACCAATTAAGGCTAAGTTGATGTTTAATAGCTAATATGAAAAGCTAACGCGAACTAATAAATTATATGAAGAAAAGTGATGAAGATACATGCAAAGGGGAAAAGCCGCTGATCGTAAAAGAAGAGGAAATATAGAAATGACAATAATAGGTAAAAACCAGAGGTGAACAATGACCTAAACGAAAAATAGCGAAAAACAGTAAATAAAATACAAATTGGAAAGCGCAGACACAGACCCCCCAGGTAGAAAGCGGGGGGTGGGGGAGGGGGAGACGGGAGGGGGGAGGGGGGGGGGGTGAAGGTGTGTAGGGTTTAACCGTACGAGTTAATCACAGTGTGAGACTCTCGGGTAAAGGTGCGAGTTCGGGGCAGGTGGGGGCGAGGGAAGCGAGGGAGTGGAAACGAACGGATAAATGAGGGAATTGAATGCTAATGGCGAGGGTGGGAGGAAATGGAAAGCGAAGAAGGAGAATAGGAAAGAGGGGGATGGAGAACTGCCCGACCGGAATAATCAAATATGTAAAAAAAAAAAAGGAAGAGACAATGCTATATTGGGAAGGAGTTGATCGATGTATAAAATTCATTTGAAGAATACGAATGCGATGAAATATTCACGGTGATGTCTTTACGTTTGCCAGTGCATACGTGAGCTCAAATCCTACGTAAAGTTAATAGGTAGATGAGTACTATAAAACTCATAAAGAAATAAATAGCGCCGTGCCAATACCACTACCCTTCATCCAAGCAAATGGGAAAGAAAAGAAAAGAGAGAAAACGAATAAGAAAAAAAGGAACCACGAACGATCACGTGTCTTTAATCTAATCTCCCTTTCCACTTCCTCCCTGTTCGCAGAAATGGCGAGCGAAAATAATAATTGCAGCCGTTGGACCTCCATTGGTAGGGAGTTGAGGCGGTGCACATGTCTTCCTCCTTGAGGTCTTTACCCACCTACAGTCAGCTGATCTCGAGGTGCTTAGTGTCCAATTTCCGATGTATTATTTCCCGCTCGGCCGGTGGGTCCGGGCGATTTCGGCGATGTGGGTTGATTTGAGGGCATGGGTATGCGTCGGAGGAAATGGTTTTGGGATAAGGAAGGGTGCGGGACATAGGCTCAAAATATGGGTGGTCTTAAATCCCGACGTGGCATCGAAGGTTCAGGACGGGTTGCCCACACGTCCAGTCTTCAGTGTTCTTTCGGAAGGCGTGGTGTGAGGAACCCACGCCGGGTGAGGTCGTCACAAGTGCACACGTGTTTTGTTCTAAGTTACAGCGAGACAAAGGGATAACATGTGATTCAGAAGCGACGCGCCAACGAAGAACAAGACCAACGTACAATTATTCAGATCAGAGTAATGGCAACACGCCCGGGAGAGTAAGAAAAGAAAATGATTTTTGTTAAACGGGTAAAAAATCGCGTTGGTCCGTAAGAGCACAGTATATGTACATGGAAAGGTGTTCCGAGTGGCAGTGTTGTTTTGGAGGTTTTTGTGTGCGGAATTTCGCATGTGATCTGAGGAGCTATTGATGTCCACAGCGGAGGGAAGCCAAGGCCGGGCTTTCGTCTTAGATGGCTGTTTTACGCTACACTTTAGCAAAATG